AAATTAAACTAAACTATAATAAAAAAAATCCAAACCTATTACTTAAATGCATAGATTAATGATTATCAGCAAGAGTGACCAGCTCTAAAAACCAGAAGTTTTAGGAGTTTGCTGATCTGGTTCACTCATCTTGTAAAAGAGCTTGTAAATACAGCACAAGACTTGTGGAACAATGTGCTTTGGACAAACAAGACAGGCAAAGATATGATGAGAAATAACAAATAAAACTGTTTGTAAAATCATTAAAAAGATAAACAACATTTGAGCACAAAACCCCTCATGCTGTCAGCACGGTGGTGGAGGGCTGATGATTTGGGTTTAATCTGAACCTTGTAGTTGAGATAATATTATCTATAAAACCAACATATTATTGAATCAAACGTGATTAAATTTGTCCTACAAACCAAACTCTGAGTCATGTTACAGAAACATGAGCAGCAAATCTACCCTCATAAACTAAAGCATCACTGTAAAGTGAGTGGGCCAAATGTCTTTTACAACAATTTAAGCTTCATGTCTGCTAAACATAGCCACGGCAAAACTATAAAATCTTGAAATGTACTTATTTTTTACGTGCTGTTTTTGCCTACATTTGCACAGGACCTGTTAGAAGACAAGCTGATTTGGTCTAATCTGTAACTACATGTTAAATGTAAAATCAGAGAATTTTTCCTCAACCCAGTTATGAAATTTTCTAAAATGAAATGTATGTTTGTTTGTGTACTTACTAACATACCTATAAAACTAATAACAGGAGCAGTCCTTGGCCAATTCCTCCACCTGTTTTGGTTTTCCAAGCACATCACCACCAGTTCAAACCACATGTAGAACTGCTAGCCACATGCTGCAATCTGTTAGCAGTAGGATATTAATTAGACCTACTCTGGCCGTCTGTTGGCTCTGCTTTGATTTAGTACCAGATTGTGTTCCACATCCCTTCGTTTTAGGCTGCTGGCAAACAAGTGCATCCTTATGGCCCCTATTAGCTGCTGCGTGTGTAGTATGACATMGTTTTTCTTAAAATAGATCACGCCTCTTTTTATATCCACTCTGTCACTTGCAAGAGTCCCTAATTACTGACAAATCATGTGAGAGCGGTTTGTCTGTATCCTGCCTCGACTCRTGTTGTGCACTTAACTTTAGTTTGCAGCTGTTGCTACCATTATATCGTCAGACAGGTAATTAACAGAAACRCCTCTGTTACGTCGTGTCAGTCGGCCAGCAGCGTGGGAGTTATTAACATGTTTAAGCCAACTGAATATTTACTCTGTCATCGAGGCAATGAGTGACATGTTTGTCTGGAAAAATAGGATTGTAAGAAAATAAGGATGTATCAGATCTTGAACTTTGTTTAAACTGTTTAAATTAATGGCCCACTCTAATGCTCCGTTCACACCGAACGCGTTTTGAGTGGCAGGAGCGGTCAATTCACATGCAAAGTCAATGGTGGACGCGCCTCTAGGGGTCTCAKKGGGAATAGAGCATTTAGTGCAATGAAGCAGTAGGTGCAGTTTGACGTGCATGCGGCGCGTCCAAAGCAGCCGACGCTCGAGTTCAAAAATCTGAACTTTTGCTGCTCGACGCGTCACATCAACCAATCAGAGAAAATAATTTTTCCACATGACGGTTTCCTGAATGTTGCCCACTAACCTGAAACAGACGGGCAGAAGCTCTTTAGCTGAAATCGACTGCCTGCAGTTGATGTTCTGGTTGGAGATATCAGCACCGATGTGGGTCAGCAGCTCGTTAAACTGAGCCCGGTGTTAAACTGGGCTCAGGACAAAAATTGTTTGTTAGCTCGCATCTCGTGGTGTGAAACTCACCGAAYAAACCGCTTCTAAAATATCTGGTGAATTAATTATCTGCTGTGCGCAACGTTCGCTTGCTCTTAGTAAATGAAGCAAAGCCATTTTCTTTATTTTATCTTTATTTCATCCTCCATTAAAGAAAGACTGAAAAAACCAAGATGCTCCTCCCTCTTCAGACGTGCACCTATAGTCTATGTCCTGGTCTGGTAGCACATCCAACTTGAGGCGTTGGGCTCGTTTTTGATGCTCAAAACACATTTGGTGTGAATAAAGCCTCTTTCAGAAGACAGGTCCACAAAATCCCCACAAGACCAGTCCAGCTTTATTCCCCCTCGAGTCATTCATAAAATCACAGGTGAAGCCGGCCAGGTCCCGCTCACATGTGTGTTCAGAAACTAACCCAGCAGCGCAGAACCAAAAGAGGCGTGGAGCAGAACTAAGCTCGACTGAAGTGGACCTGGATGTATGGCGGGCGTCCATCTCGATTGTATCACACACACACACACACACACACACACACACACACACACACACACACACACACACACACA